AAACAAAACTACCTGTGTTTTTAAAATAAAAAGAAACAATTAGATACAAATTACTATCAAGAAAATTTATCAATATTTTCTAAGGCATTTATAAAATCTTACCTTAACTTTCTTTTTCCATGTAGATTTTTGCTTCTCCTCTTCTTCCTCAATTAATTTAAGTGCCAGCTCTTTGTTAACTTTTGGCAATTTCTAATAGAGAGGGAAAAAAAGCTGTACTAAGACATCTACATTTTACCTGTAAAGGTTAACAGCTCTGTAAGGAGTATAATTTCATAAATAGGAGATATCTAATTCTTATTTTTTAAACTTCATTATTCCCAGAGTAGGAAATGCAGACACAAGTGACGCTATCTGGTGGGCCCCATGGCAACTGTGGCTTACTGCTGGGGAGGACGTGCCCCTACCCAGGCAGTCCCAGTGTACTGACAGGCAAGCTGGGAAAGGGCTGTATTTGGGCTACATCAGCCACAGAGAGTCTAGGACCCCCTCACTGATCAACAGGAGGCAAATGGGTCTGGTATTGTAGCTTCTGGCTGGGGTTGCAGGGAACTGCTAAAATGTGACCAATAATGCTAACCACACTACTTCCTGCTCCTGAATACTAAATTTCTAAAGGGAATACTAGCTATGAGTCTGACAACTGTCAGGATAAAGTCATAAGCTATCTGTTGTCCTTTTCCACTTAGTATGTTATGTTCCACGTTATAGCAAGTAAAATATAACTTTGACAAGCACCGTAAAGCGCTAGGGCAAAAGGTCTCCACAGCCTAGCCTGTCTTTGGCAACACGTACATATTCATCACTTTTAAGAACTTTTAAGAGAGTCCAGAAAAAGGAAAAAGTACTGAGGGTTAATTGCTGAAAACCGTTACTAATCTTTTGCACTGAAAGAGTATATACATACACATATGAAATATCTGTATATATAAAATTTTTTAAAACTAATGTTCAGTTATAAATATTGGCATCATTTGGTGATTAAACCTGAAATCAACAGGGGTGGCCAGAGAGAGACTGTAGGCAGGAGAAGGGGGCAGGACTAGCTCTTCCCTGTCTGCTCACTGCTTGGGTTGGCATCACATAGCACCAGTTCTTTGCCCTGAAGCAACAGGTGGTTCTGGCTGCAGTGG